GGCCCGAGCCCCCGCCGGCCGCGGCGCTGGCGATCGGAGCGCCCGCCCGAGCCTTTCCCCCCGCGGGCAAGGAAAGTGAAGTGGAAACAATGTGAAATGCACCAGCTAGCTCTGAAATCAACAAGCTGCCGGCTCGGGTGCTACGGAGCCAACCGCGGCGTCCCCATTTAAAGGGACAGCGCACCCGGTGGAGAGAAGAAATAAATACAGCGCGAGAGGTCCGCGCGCCGGTGCCGCTCGCCCGGGTGTGTGCAGGCGGACGCTAGGTGTGGACGTGTGCTTCTGCACCCCCGCCGGCCCCGGCGGCTCCAAGCGCGTCGGAGGAGAAAAGAGTCTTTCTGGGCGGATTCTGAGGGCGTGTCCTGGGCGAGGACGCCCGTCTCCCGGCGCGTTTCCACTTCTGCCCGGAGAACTCCGGTACCTTTACATGGCGAGACCGATCTCCTCTTCTGGCAAAAATTGCCAACAATGATAAAACATAGCTCATCAAAATAGGGTGCCCACCCTGCCCTCCAATCCCCCATTAACCTCTGACGTACCCCCTCTCCTGCCCTTTCCCAGGGCAGTATTCTACTTAGCCAACTGGGTAAGGTGTGCTGAGTTAATGAGGTCCGACCTTCGCCAGCAGCAAGGGAAGGCGAAGGAGCGTGTGGGGGAGGGGAAGCAACGCCTTGCCTCAGGTTGCAGAGAATGCCGGCTGCAGAGAAAAGGTTCTCGGAGGCTGCCTGAACCCTGCGGGAGAGGTTCATGGAGAGCCAAGTTCAACAGAAATCGCAGTTCCTTCGAAGGATGACATCTCAAAGATGGTGTGCAAGGAATGCAAGCGTTTGGGAAAGCCTGCAAACTCTTAGAAACAAAAATTATCCTCCTTGATTCTCCAAAAGGCAACATTTCTCTACCCCACACAGTTACTGATTGGGTCGGGCCCTTTTGATTTTCTTAACCTGGCTTCTGCTAACGAAAAATACCAATTGTTCTGTTACACCTCAAAAGAAGCCCAGACTCTGCCATAAATACTTTAAAATAATAAGAATTGCCCTCTCTGCTCTCTTCCTTGTTTTGAGAATTATGTGAAATAACTCATCTCAATCATTTGATGTGTAGAATGATATACTAAACCCTCAATGGAAGTGAGCTATATCAGTCTCTACTGTTTTGTTTGGGTTTTTTTTATTTGTGTTGTGTTTTTTGGCGGAACCAGGGTTGAACTCAGGCCCTTGCACTTGCCAGGGAAGCACTTATTCCACTGCACCATCTCCCCGGCCCTCTACAGTTTTCATTAATGTAATTCTTCCCGCTTTCCACAATCTATTCTTCATATTGTTACCACAGTGGTTGTTACATAATCACAGATCTTGCCCCGACTTATGGTGGGAATCTGTATCAACCTCTGTCTCCGTTACTTTTCTCTCCTTGCTGGAACAAATTACCTGACACCAAAATTAAGGAAGGAAAGGTTTATTGAGTTCCCCCCAGTCTGTGGAGGTTTCAGTCCATACTCAGTTGGCTCAGAGACAGAGAGGCACATGGAGGAGGGCAGCAGTTCATGGTGGTGGAAAACAGCCAAGAGCAAGAGCTGAAAGGCAGGAGCAGCCAGAGCAAGCCTCTTTCCCTCCTGTGCTCTGTAGCAGGCTGTGTGTAGCACTCACCCACAGTCACAGCATTGGACCATGAGTCAACCGGAAACTCTAGAAGTCCACCCCATGTTTGTGCGAGGCTTCGGGGGGCATCTAGATGCAAAGCAGAACAACCCCTCTCCCAAATGTACACCAAAGGCAGTTTTCCACCCTAGTCCTTACTCTCGCTTGTGACAAACCTTCGCTCTTTGGAGGCTTCCTTGAACCCTTGAAGAAGTGGGTGTAGGAAACTGATGAATTTTAACCTTGCCTTATCATTGTTAGCACAAGCTCCAGATGATGAAGTTCTTGAAAATGAGGTCGCTGTCTTGCTCCGATTATTTCACAGCACGTGGCTCTGCATAAGGCCCTCTATGACTACTGAGTCAAGTCTTGGGTGAAGAGCTTCGGCATAGTCAGTGAATTTCCTTTGCTTTCCATTCCTTTCTCTTTAAAACAAACTTTCTCACCCAATCAGCCTTAAAGAGGGAAGATATATGCCCAGGTAAATGTATGCAGATTGTTACTTAGAATCTCTGGCTCTTTGGAATATGAGCCAGTTTCCCAAGACATAATTATTATATATCACAAACATACACTACTGTGACTAATAATAAAAACTTCTGAATCTCCCAGCCTTGCTGTGGGGTCTTGGCAGCTCATCATGAGAGTGTGACCCCTAGGTGGGCAGTGGTATGAGCCACCCCAGTGGTGGGAACTTCAGCATGGTTGATTCACACTTGTCTCTCAGTGCTTATCAATGGTTTCAGTGAGACGGCTAGCTGACGGACAGTAACCTTATGGATCAGAATGGTTCCCCCATTTATCTCTAGCCTGGGTAGTACAGTTAGAAATAGGTAAAAAGTACTCGAGAATTTTCATTGTCAAATTCCAATACCATTGGTGAAACATTGCTCCTCCCTTTTATGCCTTTCCTTGTGATATTTATGGTCATAGAAAAACAACAAGCTTTTAGCAGAAGTTACTTCAAATGGGTCTGAGCTCTGGGTCTTGGCAGTTCTGAATGACAGAGGCAATGAACACTCTCTTTATTGTTCTTCATTGTTCTACTGCCCATCAGCCAAAACCTATGACCCATAAACCCTCAATGAGCCTATTTTTTAAACTGGAAAAATGGAGAAAGAAGATCAGGGACCATATTTCCTGATGGATCTCTTCCTTGGGAGTTTTTTCTTTTTTTTCTTGGGAGTTCTTAATTTCAGGGCCCTAGTAAACTAGGAGTCCCCCCTGTTGAAGCTCAGAAGTGTAGAAAGTCCCTGGCCCATCTTAGTTTTATTAGTATGTCTGAATGAGAAAGATAATTAATATCCCTCAAAGTTCAGAATTTTTTTTTTTTGGGGGGGAGGGCTGGCTCAGGCTGCCTTAAGGGTGGGTCTGGTAATGCAAGCAGAGGTGGGGATCTAACAGTGGTATCCTGCCCTTGACTGCATTTGCATGAGCAGGCACTTAAACAACTGAGCTAACCGGCAGGTCCCTTCCCTCAAAGTTCATACAGTCGCATTTAAGTGGGTTTTGCTGCAGTTACATAGCTCAGCCTAAGCTATCAGTGGTTTTCCAATGTCTCTACAAACAGGTGTTTCTGCTTGAGTCTAATTAAACACTTCAATCTTTTTTCTTTCCCTGTGTATGTTACATAACAAGTGAAAGAAAAGAGATAAGGGGAGAATGAAGAGAATTATTGGAAGATGTCAAGAATGAGCTTTCTTAACAAACAATGGATATATCTAGAGGTTCAACACATGACTGAGTAGTTCACCATCTCCCTAAGTGCAGACTTAGGCTTTCTCTTCACTTGCTTCTGCAGTATTAAGCGGGCTAGAGAGCCTTGAGAAACTTACAAATTTCACACTGGGAAGTAGAGTTTGTCCCTATACTCCCGCACTCCAAAAGCACATTAGCTTGTAAAAGAACTCTTGCTTTTCTGGGGCTGTTTGTTTTTAAATACAGCTCTGAGGTTCCAAGGCAAACTCTCAGCCATGAATAACTGGGCTGCGCAGAGCGCATATTAAAAATAGCAGGCTGCATATCCACATGATGGATTAACAGAATATAATTTTAAACAAAGTTTCTGTGGTTTGACAGTGATTTAAATAGCAGCCCAGGCTGCAAGATCTGGCCTTCTTGGGCAGCTGGATTTTCAATAAAAGCCTAACAAATGGAAGAGACCTGGGTTTCTTGTGGTTTGAAAATGAAAGCTTGAAAAAAGAGAAGCAAACATCACAGAGGTGTGGTGTGTTCATCGTAGAAGGAACTCGGAAGATGAATCCCATCTACCATTTTTATTTTGCAGATAGAAGAACTGGATCACCAAAAAGGACTCTTGGCTAGATAGTACTGGCAGCAATGGGTCTATGTTTCATATTAACTTCTAATTGAGCAAATATTTGTTATGTTTCTCACTGCCAGAATGGGCATGGAAAAATGCCATGAAATGACCAAAAAAGTGTTCTAAAAAAGGGAGGGAGGGAGGGAGTGTCCCTTAGGGGAAAAAATACTTATTACACTTGAAATTTAAATTTCAATAAACCAGGAGTTATTGGCATTTGGAATCTCTTGGTTAATACCTTTTCATAGCTATAGACAAATACTTAGCTATAGAGCTAAATCTCTTCAATTTACAAACATAAATCTTTCCAGGGCATTTGCCCTGCTTGGGGCAAATCCGGCAGTTTTGCATCTGATGGCTGCTGATATGTAGGTGAAATCTATGCCCACAAGAGAGCGCAGTGTAAGTGATGGTCTTCACCTGGCTGAAGTTGGCTCTTACGAGGTGGCCTGCAAGCGCAGAGCCCTCTCTGACATGTTCACGTTGTTCTGGGGACCGTGCCTCACCCTCCCGGCAAGTCCTGTGAGGCCTAACCACCAAGAAAACTAGAGCAGTACAAATCTATTTTATTCTCTGTCCTTGTTCTACTAGGAATGGGAAATATCTACATATGGAAAGTAGGAAAAAAAAGTCTAGGAATAGAGATAACGATATCTGATAACTTACTAACATTCCTTACAATGATAGAGCACTTTCCGGTTCAATAAAGCACCGTTGAACAAAAATGCATTGATTGTCCCCTCACCACCTCCCGCTAAAGCAAATTATTCAAACCTGTTGTTATCAGTCCCATTTTAGAGCTAGGAAACGAAGGCTCTGA